ATAAATCTAGATGCTATATGTGAGAAAATTCCATCTACTACTAATGACACCGCTTTATTTTTCTTTATGTTCAAATCAAACTCCATTGTACATATAAATCACATTTATTAAAATTTTTAATTTATTTTACATACCAACCAGTTTCCCCTCCCTCCCTCTCCTCCTGTTTCCTCCCTCATCTCCTTCCTGCCTCCCCCCATTCTCCTCAAAAAGGTAAACCATATTTTTTTAAATTCAGTTATTGAACGCTGGACTTTTAAACATCAAGTCTGTGCATTTTGAAATGTTGGCAGTGTTTACAACATTTCTCTAAAAATACTATGGGGGTGAGTTCCAGGACAGCCAAAATAACACAGAGAAACACTGTCCCAAAAAAACAACAAAAAATGCTATGGGGTAAAAATACCTATATTATTCTCACAGAATGAAACTGTGAGAGTTTCATTCCTGAACTCCATGAGTTTTGTAACACAGCTCTGATAAGGCCCATGTTATATATGTTTGTGACCAATTAAGATTTGCTTTCAGCAAAATGATCACACCAAATTTCTTCCCATGAGCCAGGTGTGATGTTGTATGCCTTTGATTCCATCACTCAGGAAGCAAAGACAGGGGGAGCTCTGTGAGTGTGAGGTCAGCCTGATATACACAGTAAGTTCCAGACCAGCTAGAGCTGTATAGTGAGACCCTCCTGGGGGGCGGGGGGGATATTCTTTTCATGAAACTTGCCAATCAAGGAGGCTTCTATTGGAGTTCTGCCAGAATATCCAGCTGGCCTATGGCTTTCACACATTTTTCTCTTTTTCCTCCAAAGTCTATCATGTATGTGCAATTTCTAAACATGGGCTACAGTATCTAAAATGCACTGGGCATCTGCTTTAGGGCAGGGTTCGGCTTCATCATCTCAGCCTCAGAGCCTGATGTGGCATGTGGCCCACAGCAAAGGCTTGGTAATGTTTGTGGAAAGTTTAAGTTCCCAGGAATATACCACTCTAGGTCCTCCTTCCATAAGCATAATTGTGAGGTATAAAATTCCATGGTACATTTATATTAAATACTGGCTATCCTCAAAAACTGTAGATCATTAGCTATAACCATCCAAGAATAATAACTCAGATAAATATTATTTCTCTGTGTTGTGCAGCTATAACCATCCAAGAATAATAACTCAGATAAATATTATTTCTCTGTATTGTGCAGCTAAGACCCTCTTCTCAGCAGCTTGCTCGCATTTGTGGAGAGCTCGCCTGTAACTCAAACCTGTCTTTACCTCTCAGCCAATAGACACTCAATGGAACATAACCAATGCCTGGGCCTCTGTGTAAAAAACAACTCCGGCATGGGGTAGAGTGATGGAGCAGTGGTTAAGGACACTGGCTACTCTTCTGGAGAACCTACGTTCAATTACTAGCACCAACATGGTGGCTCAAAACTATCTATCACTCCAGTTTCAGAGGTTTCAATACCCTACAATGGCCCCTGAGGGCGCCAGGTACACATGTACACAAACACATGCAGGCAAAACATAAAGCTCATAGGGCAGAGGCGCGCGCGCATGCACACGCGCGCGCGCGCGCACACACACACAGACACACACACACACACACACACCCCCCCCCCCCCCCCCACCCCCACATCTACCATTAACACCTCCACCACCACCACCTCCATCACAGGCTAACAGAGCTGAGTAGAAATGATCACAAGTTTCTTCACAGATTTATAATAGATTTATAGTCAATTAGAGTTCTCTAGATGCAGATACAGACAAGTGCTGACTTTTCCACATGCTGTCCCTTCAGGCCCATGGGGGACACAGGTGGTCTCATCAAGCTGAGCTTGAGCGACTCCAGAGGTAACGTCACAGGGGATAAGCTGGTTTGGATAACCCTACCATTTTCACTGTTGTTTCCTAAATGCTGTTTGCCCGGGTTTTGAAGCCAGTCAGTTCCCCTTCCTAAAGAACCCATCACCTTCAACTATACCCATATCAATGTCTCACAGTTGAAGTCACCATGCACAAGCCCTGATTGTCCCAGGGACACTGCTGAGCATCAAAGCCACTGAAATCATTGTAATTAGCCAGCCCTGCCCTGTTGGTGCTGTTCCCACTACTGTGATGGACACCTGACAAAAGCAACATAGGAAAGAAAGCATTTATTGTGGCTCACAGTTTGAGAGCAGAGCCCATCATAACAAGGACAATGTGATGGCAAGCATGTAAAAAGTGAAGAACCTAGACATACTGCATCCAGTCAAGAAACAGAAAGAAATGCGGATGGTCAGCCTGCTTTCTTCTTTCTATTTCATATAGGACCCTAACCCATGGGACAGTGCCACCCACAGTCAGAGTGGTAAACCTCCAGAGGCATGTCTCCTAGGTGACTCAACCCACTCACGTTCTCAGTGACGTCTAAGTCACACCTACAGGTCTGCTTATTTTACGTCATCTGTTCCTTCCCTCAGAAACTACAGTGAAGATGCTTGATCACAGTCCCCACTCCCACTGCTTGCTGCCAGACAGATCCCTGGGGTACTCTGAGTGGCCCCGGGTGGCCTGCTGTGCAATAACATAATGATAAAATGTTCGCAGGCCTCTTTCTCTTGATCTCCATCTGGCCCTCCTCCATTCCCCAGTCCAATGTAATATGGCTAAAACAGGGCTGGGCAATCAGAAGCAACTGGAAGGTTATTCTGGACTGTGAATGACTGGTGACTGCTGGCAGCAGACTGCAATGTCAAAAAAAGTGTTCACAAGAACTTGGTTGGAGACACAGAGGTGACTCAACATGTGGGTTAGGAGAAATGATAGTTTCCTTGTATAAAAACAAAAAAGTCACACCCCAAGAAATCTGTCATATATATTCTCCCAGAAGGTACTTTTCCTGGCACAGGTTCTAGCCAGATGTATCACAGTGTGCTGCTGAGGGAGCATGGTGCCCTGCTTACAGTGAATCTCTTGAGACTCAGTGGACATGGGGCCAGCAAAGAAGACAGCCCCTTCTGTGGAAAACATGATTCTGGGAAGTGATTTGAGTGGCGTTGGCAACTACTCACTTTCCAGGGAATGCATGAAGTCTCCTGGTCTCCGATAAATGAACACTATTGGGAAGGACAGATGTGAGCATTGAGCCTCCTGACATCTTACAAGCGCTGCCTACTATGAGGTCTTAACTGCTGGCACTTTCTACAAGAGAGCAAAGCAGCAGGCTTTCCAGGATCTCTCTGGGTCATGAACGGGCCTTCTCACATATTAACACGAGTGCACCTTCTCACATGTTAACATTCAGTATATTGCCCTTTAGCATCTTCTGGTCCAGATCAGAACAATGCAAATGAACAAACTTCAGGGTAAACAGTCAGTATAGCAGACAGCCTAAATGGACTCCTGATGTCAGCACCGTCTACAGTTGCTGGAGAGCAGAGTTCACCATTCTCCACACTGGGGCCTTGTGTGACTACTGAACTCTACCTGCACTCTTCACAAAGATTCTGCAGGCAGCACCAAGGCTCGCTATGGGGTGGCACTCACTGCTGCTTCCTGGGGGTGTGGGACTCTTCTCAGTCACACTAAATTTTCTCTTCCTAACACCCAACAATCACAATCTCCATGTAAACAATTTAATTATATGAAGGATAGAAATCATCTATCTTGACAGTCAAGCATCCTTCCTGACAACTGATTCAAATCTGTCACAAGTTCAAGGAAAGATGGAAGGTGACAAGAGCCAACCTGCTGTCCCCACAGACATAGTAATGAATATACCACAGAGCTAAGAGCAAGGCTAAGAAAGTTAACCTCTCCTACAACGTGGCATTTACCAAAACAAACCCCAGCTATGAGCATGGACTTGAAAGTTTATTCAGTGATTCCAGGGAACTTTCCCTTGTGTCTTCTGCTGTGTGGTTTTTTGTTTGGTTGGTTGGTTTGGTTTGGTTTTTTTTAGTAGTTCCAGGCGAGGAAGGAAAGCTTGACTAGCTGCATGAAGCGGGGCACACAGCCCCCCCTCGGGGGGCGCGCCCCCCGCCCCCCCCCCCCCCGCCACTAACCACGGGTATCTGATATTAAATCACACATCTCATGTACTTTCCCTTCATCCAAGGGAAAACTAAAAGATGTTTGTGGCTTATTTTTAATGAACATCAGTATGCAGTTTGTGGGGTCACAGCTACTCAGAGAAGGGACAGAAGAACCCAGAACCATCCTGGCCTGGGCCAGTGTCTAGGCAGAGTCTCTGCTCAGCCATACCCAGGGAAAGACTTCCTTAAAAACAAGCACTGAGTTCTTTGAAACTCAATTATTTTCAACTATAAAATGGAGACGATATTATCTTATATGAGATGTCTCCTTTTGAAGGTTAATCCAATAATTTCTGCCTCACATGTACTGCACACAGGTTTGGGAGTAACAGAACTTTTTTAGCAGAGGAGCACAATTCAGCACCATCCTAAGAGACCATTAACTCAGAATAGCAACACGAATCTATGCTTCAAAGTCACCCATGCACCAATATGCACATGAAATTATAAGGCAGCAATTAGAATCACTCCTTACAATGCAAGTTCCTAGGCCCACCTGAGGCCTATTAATCAGAAACAGGAAGGCATAAGTGAGGATTGTGCATTTTGATGAAAGCCCCACAGGTGAAAACTCAAGTTAAAAACAAACTAACAAACAAAACAGCAATGTTTTTTTTTTCTTCTAGAAATAAACCAGGTTTTAGTTTTGGGTAGCTTTGAGCTAAAATCATGAATTCTATCTGATCCCAAACAGTGTGTGCCTCTCCTTATCAAGTAAAGGGGTTTATTTTTAAAAAGTGAATCACTCATTCTTTGTTCTTAGCAACCTCTTAGAAGTCAGCCCTGACACACCAGTTAACTACTGGGAGCTGACAAACTGATGAATTTTCCTACCTTATTGAAGATTTCTAGCAAAGCTCCCACTCTGTGCACTCCTGAGGGAGACCCTGGCCACCATGGCATGGATACTTAGGACTCACCCCTCAGGATGTAGTTCTGATAGTTCTGGTCCGCCTCAGCTCCCACCTTGATCAAACACGTCAGACCTTCAGCCATGACAAATTCGTGTACCAAATCCTTGTCATCCTGGCAGGAAGGAAAGAAGCGAAATGAAATAACTTTTTTTTCAACTGTTCAGATAGGTCCCTGTCCACCTGTATTGCTCACGCTCTGCAGGACTCTTTGAAATGAATGGCCCCTGAGGAAATTCCGCTCTATTCAAATGATGCATCGAAGTCTTCAATGCTTTTTATTATAATTTTTTCAGACAATATATTTTGGTCATATTCCTCTTCCCCAACTCCTCCCAGGTCCTCCCCACCTCTGGATTTTTGTCTTGTTTTGTTTTAAATTTTGTTTTGTGAGTTTTCTTCTTATTAGAGTGAGAGAAGAGGGAGGAGCACACACATGAGTGAGCATCTAACTCTTGCCAAAGGGATTTTACAACCAGTCTTCACACTGTCATTTGCCAAAGACCAATTATTGCCTTTGGGCAACCTAATAAAGATGAAGCAAATACATCCCTTGCATGTCCGGAAGCTTTGCAGAG